GAGGTTTTTTTTCTCATTATAAAAGAGCCGTAGGGCGAATTTAAACCTGAACGCAACAGAAAAGAATATCCCACTTTAGTGTGGTCGGTAAAATAGGATGCAAATCCTACAAATCTTTGCAAACAATAATATTTTCGACGGTATAGAAGTCAGATAATGCATATTTTAAGGGTTTTCTTGTCGTATAACACACCTCGGGGTGTCAGGATTGCCCAAAGAGAGACCTCCCGACGGTCGGTCTTTCGTTTGATCGATCCTGACACCCCTCGGTGTGTTATACGACAAGAAAAACCTTAAAATATGCATGATCTATAACTGAACGTGTAAGCCATCCAATTTGTACACCAAAATGAACTATTGGAACGGACATATCAGGACATCATAAATGTTCTCATGAAAAACGTTGCCGTTTATTTTTCACTACCATTATGAGTGATATCCAAATACGAAGTTCAGTAACATAACCATAGAAGCAGAATAATGTCTGAAAAAATCTTATTGCATATAAATGGGAATTCGTCTTAACAAATAAACACAGATTGCTTCACAAAACGCTAAGGAAATCTTTGTTTTATATCAAAACATCTAAGCCTTAAAACTATTAAACTTTAGGTAGATTTCACGTTCAGGTAAGAATTGAAAACACAGTGAACAGTTTAATTCATAAGAAACTTGTGAAACAAAGACTTTACAGTACACATGTCAGATTTATCTACATTTGCATAGTTTTAGGCTATAAATGTAAGTTTTTAGATATGACATTTCATGGTCCTTACTTACGTTCAAATACAAGCCCAAAACTTTGTTCATGTTCATGTATCGATTTAGCTGGTAACATATGAATTGGACATGTAGATAAGTTTGATTCTTTAATTACCATATTTATTGATCATATCCAATAACGTTAAGTAATTCATGATTCAAGTAGGCTAAATGTTTGAACTGCAATATAATCTGGTTTTTAAACATTGAACATGTTGAACGCTAACTTATTTGGAAAGCATGTGGTAAAGCAGCTTTGATAAGGAAAATTATGTTATGTGCTTATCATAAACCGTTAGGAGATTTTATTTTTTAGTCTGATTCATAAACATGTTGTACACGTTATGTATATTGAACGTTCGGTCATATTGTCATGCTGTGTTTGTTTGATGGTGCGTTTTAAGCAGTAAGGAACTTTGCATAGTTTAGTAGAATGAACTTTGAATATATGATCACGCCATTATTATAATCCTAGATAAAACAAATAATTTATAAACAACAATAAGAGTCCAACAAAAGTCCTTTTTTAGATTATTTTGTTTAACATATTTAAGTTATAATGGAGTCAAAGACTATAATGGTCGGAAAGTCGGGTGTTTGTCTGCACTAAACTTCCTTTGAAATTGATAATTTGGTCCATTTGAAGACTTTTTTTTTTTTATTGAAAACAAATATAGAAAGTCAAATTACGGTAGATGTTACTGTTTATAAAAAAAGAATGTGCTTTCTTGGCAGATATGTTTTACTCGATACCTAAAACAATCAGTTCAGCGAGTCGTTGTGTATATGATTGGTCCTGATTTCATTTTATTTAATTAAAAATACACGAAACACGTATATATATTCAGACGGGGGTTCGATCTCTCTTGTACAGTTGGCTGATATTTTTTGTAAGAATGACCCATTATATCTTGAAAATATATGCTGGTTTAATATAATCCATACATGTATGTCAATGATGCTATTGTTTCTGGTTCTGACACAAAAAAAGGTATTCGGCACTTGGGTCATTATTCAATGATTACAACAAACCAATATGACGATTAACCAGTTGATCCGTCAATGTTTAGTTTACACTATCTGAAGCATAAGTATTCCTAGATTCAGATTCCATGGATAGTGTTCAACAGCAGCTTTGATGAACAGAGAGTGGCATCTGACACATTGATAAACAGAGGGCGATGTATCAATGTAAGGGTTAAGAGGGTTCATCCTTTTAAGAGGGTTCAATCCAATCAAAAATTTTATTTCGGTTGAGAAGACATACATTAAGATGGGGAGATTTAATTACGAGAATATGAACATAATTGAGTATTGTATATTGACTTTGGAGTACATACAGGTTATTTAGTTAAGTTTAATGGTCTGAAAGTGCTTCATTTTTTTATGAATCATAGTCGGAATAATTGAAGCAGAAATGAAAAAAACTGCTTTCCTGCTGTGCCGTCAACATCTTTTTTTGTCACTTAAGGATGTTTATTCGTACATACATATGCACATCTGAGTATCAGTATCAATAAACATATTTTAAGATATACGTGTATTGCAGCTGCTTTGTTTTGGATTGGAATGTTGCACTAAGAAAGTTCATTAAATCTAGGAAGTTTGCCTGTTCCTGAAAAAAGAAATAAAATATGCATTTAACATATCAAATATACTGTTATTATGGATCTGAACTTCAAAATATGTATTTCAAATAAGGAATAGTTGAACAGATGATATTTAATGAATTTGTTCTAATAATCTGTTGATTTGGTTTGGTGTACTATATTATAATTTTGTACTTCAAAATGTTAACCGGACAACAAATATCAATTCTATAATCGTTTTGGATTATTAGCTGAGATTCCAAGTTGCAATTCCTACAACTTTGCTTTGTCTCAAAACATGTGTAAAGTAGCAACTGTCCTAAGTCAGGAATCTGATGTTCAATAGTGTCGTTTGTTGATGTGGTTCATAAGTGTTTCTCGTTTCTCGTTTCTTATAAAGATTGAACCGTTGGTTTTCCCGTTTGAATGGTATTACACTAGTTATTTTGGTATCAAATTATCAGCCTGGTACATTTCATAACTACTTACACTAGTTATTTTTGGGGCCCTTAATAGCTTGCTGTTCGGTGTGAGCCAAGGCTCCGTGTTGGAGACCGTACTTTGACCTATAAAGGTTTACTTTTACAAATTGTGACTTGGATGGAGAGTTGTCTCTTGGCACTCATACCACATCTTCTTATACCTATGCAGCAGGAATCTGCCATATTCTCTCAATGCATTGTTCAACCAATTTCATACAGTCTGTACACCTACATGAGCGCCTTTCAAATATGCAATATGTACAATTATTTACAACTGTTTTCTCAATTTATGATAGTTGTTAGTTACAGAAACCCATATCTTATTGATATAAGATTAGACATTAATGAACTTGAAGGTATGTCCTCATCGTGATTTTACATACTGTCTGCAGATAGTTAGTCTTAGTATTCAAAAACATTTTTGTTCACGGCTAAGTGTACAGAACATTCGAAATTCTGATTACATGATTTTAACTACAAATTGGAGGAACAAAACATGATAGAATCTGTAAACATTCATGCCATTGCAGAGGTGTGAACATATTTGTTGAGACCCCTTGCACTTGTCTCCGGGAAAGTGTATAACAAATTCTAAATGTCCAGAAGAAAAGCTACTTGCTCTGATTTCTTAATGAATTTTGGAATGAAGATGTATTTTGTGGTAGATGTGTATATTTCTTAAAAAGTTTTATACACAATGTAAATGGTATTCGTGGTTTCTGTTTGTATGTGCGAATAATAAATGTTTATAAGTAGAGTATGCACCAACGAGATAGAAACTAAGCAAAAAAACAACTTTTAACTAAATAATCTACAGGCCAACTTTGCAAATTATTTGTTTTAGTGTTAGCTTACATGAACCTGGGAGATTATATCATGACTTACACTTCTTCTGTGAGCCTGTGCAAAGTGTTAAAGTTAATGGAGAAATAAAAAGCATATGATTGGTAAATTATTGAATTGTTGTTGCTAGAACTAATCTATGTTTCTTGTCAAAACCAAGTTCTTCAATCAGCAGTTATTTTTTTTCTGAGGCGACTCTATTCCGTTGGTAAACTTTCCAACGATGACCTATCTCAATATCCTTATCCAAATCGACTGGTCATTTAGTTTCATTCTTGAGAAATCAGAGGTCGAAACTAATAATGACGATTTCCAGTGTATCGTTGCTATAACCTGATTGACGATCCCAGACAAATGGGAAAAATCGCTGAATACTAACGAAAACCAGGTCTGCATACTTATTTTTTTGTGTTTGATAATCGATCTATTACTTGATCATTGATGTTGTTTTACCTAAACATGTTGCTTTCCTCTTGTTATTTAATATTTTTCTACTTTAGTGAATAAATTTCGAGGACTTTGCTATATGATTATGAAAATAAACATTGTCAAGCAACGTTTTTTTTAATTGTCCACGGGCAACAGAGACACAAACGGTCGGTCAAATGTACGAGTCGGGCAAGTCGGGCATAGCATTTCAACCGGATTTGTTTACTTCATGGTTCATCTAAGTGATCAGTCATCAAGTTTACACCAGATTTGAAAATACAATAACTGAACTACATTTACATATTATTGTTGTAAGAATGAATTATGATTTATCTACCACTTGTTTTAACATACTGTAGATCCGGATGAGCAAAGACTGTATTGGATTAATTACAATGGTGACATGAAATCAGCTAAAGACGACGGCTCTGATGTTAAAACAATACTTTCAACAACTCATAATTCATACTACTATGCTATCGGTGTCATCGGTAGTTACATATATTATGCCAATAACAATCAGCTGTTAATGGTATCTAAAACATCAGAATCCACGCCGACTGTTCTGTACAACGATGTTAACCCTATTTACAGTATATTTGTGTTTAATGCATCAGGTATGTTCATAACAATTTAAAATTATTTGTAACGATGCCATAGTCATCAAGCGATTTGGATTAACTCGTCTTTAAAATATCATATTAAAGTATTATACACACAAGCTTAGACATTTAATACTAGCAATGTAAGGGAAAGTAATACGACACACGGACATTGCATACACACACAATAACTACTAGGTGTTTATAAAAACTGAATAATGGTCATATGTGTATGAAAATAAAATCAATGTTGATTTTAAAGTGCACATTCTGATTAAATTTAAATGCGCATTATTGTTTGTCTCCATATTCTTAAAGAATACTACTACATGTTTTTTAATCTGCATTAAATTCTCGAAACATGTGAAGTACAGCACGAATGATTTATTGTTTTGATGATGTTTTAATTAAATGGAATAAATATCTATGAAAGCAGTCAACCATATTTATAGGACGTAGAAAGCTATTTGAAAGAACAAATCCGTTTGCATTCAGTTGTGAATTGTCATAACTAACTTACCTGTACTTAGAATTATTATTAAAGTTAATCTTGCAAATATTTTATAACATTGCATTTTGTTTTCACATCTTATAATTTATTATAGTCCTACATGTGTTTATATTGTTTATTTCGATTTTGCTAGTTGCTTCCTAATTTTTCATATTCAGCTTTTTACTTAGTATATACATATCTTGTTATTCTGATTAACTAAATGTACATATATTGATATTGATATTTTTTGTTGTTTAATATTATTTTTATTTCTTTACTTCACTTCATCTATTCACTGTTTTTGATAATTTCGTGGAATAAGGTGATGAATCTGTTATAATGGTTAACGTAACAACTTTTGACAACAATTTTGATAATTAAGTATCTTTAATGTTTATGACTAAAATTGCATTTAATAAAATTGAGCGACACAAACAAGAGGTAAGTAATTTTACCTTAAGTTCTTAATTCTAATCAAATCAATATACTACTTTGCCCTATAAGTATCTAAATACAATAATGTCAACTGATACAACTTTTCACTGTTTATTTTTTATTGAAAAGAATTGCGTTTTTAATCATGTTGATCTCAATCAAATAAATATACTACTTTGCCCTCTTAGTATAAAAAAACATGTGGTATCATTGTCAACTGAGACAACTCTTCTTTTTTTATTTGAATAGCATTATCAAGATTATGTTGATAAAATCAGTTTAATTCACCAAATCTCGTGGTTCGAAAAAATGATTTGTTTCCCTATTTTATACAAATGTACTTTTTCTAAGTCGTTTAACACGCGAAAATATAAAAATAAAAAACAATCTCTGAGAGCTTTATCAACACTTTTCTTTTTTGCATTTTAATTCATCTCATCTGAGTGTGGTGCAGCACCGTCAGTACCGGATTGACGTCAGGGTGAGATGTATAGATCATACAATCAGCAACATAACATTGGTATAGATCATAGATGTATCAACTTAACAAGGGTAAATTGTAGAATACCAATTTCTTCAGTGATGATGTATTTTTGTGATTTTTATCAACATGTTAACATTTTTTCGTCAAATTCTATTATAACAGTAAATTAGCATTTTGTCAGTCCAGACGATTCGTATTGTTACAGAAGGAAGAAAGATTAAGAAACAAATTATTTATGGTATATTAAATCAGCTGTGAATTATGAATATATAATATGGCGCATGTTTCAAAGCTACATATTGAAAAACTTATAAACAAAGACCGGTCATCACAATATATTAAAAAAAAAACTTTTGGTTAAACAACTTTAGGCATCAAAGTCATGTCATCCGGAAGTGTTAAACTGACATGTCCTGAGTTCCGCCAGATTTGTAGTCCATCCGATGTTTTTACCTTTAGTGTTGTTTTAACAAAAATCGCATATATGAACACTCAAATCGAAAATTGTTTGGTAATTCGAATGGAAAATCGTATCACGTGAACATAACGTTGTACAATTTACCAGGGCGAAATCATCATTGTTAAACCACGTTTAATACGGTAATTATATTAAACAATCTTTTGGCTCCTTTATGTTGTTCATTATTTTGGATTTCAAAACAGACATTTTCAGAAATCATCAACTGTTACTTTTCAAGTTTTGCGCTAGGTATTAATTTCAATTCGGGTATTCAGAATTTTTACAAAGAATTAAGTGATCTGTTTGGGTCTTTTTCTGCATCCAACATGTCCAAATTATCTACAGGTATGTTTTGGGCATTACATCAGATTAAGCATTTTTATACTTTTTTGAGTGGCTGTATGAATTCCACTTTTCATTACAGCCACTTTTATTAAATTGTAAGACGGTAGGATTTTATAGAAAAAGTAGTAATGTCTTCAGTATTGTCAGTTATTTACCATATAAAAATACGTAGATATGGTATGATTACCAATGACACAACTCTCCATCAGAAACCAAATGACTTAGAAGTTAACAAGTTATTGATCACCGTACGGCATTCAACAATGAGCTAAACCCATACCGCATAGTAAGCTATAAACGGCCCGATATGACAAATTTTAAACAAATCAAACAAGAAAACTAACGGCGTGATTTATGTACAAAAAAATAAATAAACGAAAAACAAATATGATATACAGTATCAAACGACAACCAACGCATTACAGGCTCCTAACTTGGGACCAGCACATAGAGAATGTGAGGGAGTAAAACATGCACCTTTCCCGAATCTGAAATAGTGGTGTAATATTGCAAAATCAGAACAGATTATTAAAAGCGGTAAACAAGGGATCAACTCGTCAAATCGTTACCATGTTTGTACTTTCATTTTGTTATAAACTATAGCACTATTTTAGGGTTTTTCAAGCTGATAGTTGTCGTTTTAACTATATGTTAGTTATCTTGTCGAAATTTGAACGGAGGAATATATATGTTAGCGTTCGAATTGATTGTCACATAGATTTTATTAAACAAAACACCCGCTTATTGTTAACACACTAGTTTTTGTGTCCTGGTGTTGACGTCAAATCAATGATCTTATTCATATTCAGATTGATAGAGCGTGGTCTCCCCTCAAGTTAGCAGAGTATTATTTATAATATGAACGTCGGAATAAAAAAGGACGATTGTTTTTTGTATAAAAAACAACGAAAACTGCAGAAAAAAATCATTAATTATAAATGTATATAATTTCGATTGGTAAACATTGCATATAGGTTGCATTTCTGTAAATATTGACAATGCAATTTCCCATAGGAACTCCTTTTACGGCTAAAACTCTACCACTTTTACTATGAAATTTTGAAAAAAATCATATCCTAGAATGGAAAGTTCATATGCACTACTATTTTTTTCAAAGATCAAAATATAGGGCTGTGCGGCATATTTTCAACGTTTATATGCCCTGAACTTCTAAGAGTTTAAACTAACACTAAATTTCTTAGCTACCCCTACCTTAACTGTAGGATTACCACATAACACAATATAAACAATATGCATATGTGTATTTACTAGTAACATTCCCAAGTTATGTCTTTATGAGATGACACATAGAAATCATAACTGGGAACCAGTATGTAAACAAAATTAATTATCTATGAATATTCTATATCTCCCCAAAAAAGGCGTGGTTTGAGAAACAGCTGTATTTACAAAGTGCAACCTATATGATGTTTGTGTATCTACCCGCAAGACAATATTGCTCTGAATCACAGTTGTACTGAGCGTTTTTGAAAATATATTAGAGCAATTTTGTATTACTGATAATTGTTGCTGTTACATTTTCTGTTATATCTAATACAATAATTTTCGAGATAATAACCACTACACGACAATTAGTAACCTGCCTTGTCATGTAAAGGTATCAACTATTATGGATGCGTCTGATAGATTTGGTTAAAATTAAAACAAGGAAGTTGTTAACAGTAGTAGCAATTTTTCTTTCATCGTTTTAATTGTTTTCACCTTCATGCTTTGTTTCATGTTGTTTCAAAATGATGGTGATAACGCACATTGCTATATGTGCAGTAATAATATATATCATCTTATAAAATCAAATATTGTACACAATGACAAACATTAAAACATGCAACATTAGAAATTAAAAACATTATTGTTCTATTCAATTCTGCGTTCTTGCAATGCTTCACTCGGCAAAAACATATGAATGTGCGAGCCATCTGTACACATTGTGTGTTAATGATATTGGTAACGCTACTTTGGTTCATTGGATGTAGGTTAGTAGATATGTTTGATGTATTTAACGACGTGTCGACAGTTTGTCGTGCTAATTGCAGTGAGAAATCGTTGAGTGTAAAAATACGTTATAGTAAAACATTTATTTTTGGTTGTTTCATAAACTAATCTTAATGTCATAGTGTGCAGACAAGTTATAAGGAAACGCAACAATGGCAAATACATTGATTTGTATGATTTATTGACAAAATCTGCATTAAAGATCAATTTGAAATTTGGTCAAACACTGGATTCAAAACAACTATAAACCAGTTAGTGTGCTTGTTTCTTTAATTACACATTAAAGTATTGTTATTCGCAGTAACCATCAATCTGAATGAAGATTCCTTATTTGCCTATTCATGGAAGTATAAAAATACGTAGACAAATGCTGTAACAAATATGTCTTTGATCATTAAGTTAAGAGCATCCAAACATGATAATTTGCAATGCGCATAACATGTATAAGACATACACGCGTGTTAATTATAATAGATATTTACTTTATATATTTACAGATTGAACTAAAGTGCAGCAATGTTATTCTAACGTCAAACAAAACTGAAATTTTACATAGAAAGGTACAAATGTAAGTATAACGTGTTGATTTGATACTATTAACAAATGTGTCATTGTCAGCTGAATATCCGGTGGTTGGTTTATGAAATATACTAAGACATTTGCACAAGTATTTATATGTGTCTATGATATTGTAAGTGCATACACATACCTGTGTGAAGTTGAGTAATTATTCTTATAGTCTTTGATTCTTTATGAAAATTATGGATTCGGTAAAACTACCTCTCTACATTTTGATTGAAACTGAAGGAATATAAATATAAACATAAGGAGATGTGGTATGATTGCCAATGAGACAGCTATCAAACCAATATTTAAATGAAGTGTTAACTTCATTAATGTTTAACAAATTATGTTAGTAATGTGCAGTTCAATGCATAACATATTTTGAATGAAGATATGCATTGTATCTGTATATAAAGTGTTTTAATTGCGTGTCACTATATTTTATATTTTAGGGCCGTTTACTATACCTTTAAAATTATTGTGTGGATGCAAAAATCAATTATTGAAGCTTTGTCAGTATTTAGCTCAACTTTGCATGGTAAGTTGATATTATTATATACATTGTTATCGAGGTAATAATCTCAGATTCATTTAATATCTTTTATAATTACAAATAATCCATTTATCAACTCTTGTATTAAGTTGACTGTATCACTAAATCAATTGTTGTTCTTTTATTTGAGAAAATAACATGCAAATATCAACGGACAGTAAAGGTGTATTACCACTATTGATTTTCCCCTATTAGTCTTTGTTAAATTTGAACTTTTCAAAAATTGTGCATAATTTATCTGTGTTTCAAATAAAGAAATACTTGGCATGAGTAAAGTTTTATCTTGTCCAGTACTATAAACAAAATTTCATATAACATGTCATTGCATATCAGAAAATAACCATCATTGGAAATTAATCAATCGAATTTTCACCTCTTTTTACCTGTGTACAAGCTTTAGTAACCATGTAACCATGGCAATCATACCACAACTTCCTTTTTTTATGTAACCGCAAGTTTCCAAAATATTCTATAGAAACATCAAATAAAAAAAAAATGGTACTTTTAAACACGCAAGATGAATGTCTATGACACAGACATTTTTTACTGAAATGAAATGTAGGATTAATTTCCTACAACTGTCAAATTAAGGTAACATTTTTTAACCCTTTTTCGTATGCAACATGATGTGACGTACTATGATTTTGTGGTATTACACCTAAACGTAATCGAGTTATATTTCATTTTCGTGTATGATCTTTTTGTATACAAGAACGTTTGCCTGGATCTTGTATTACCTCAAACAAGTGTTAAATCATTAAAACTTCTAGAAATACAACCAATTAATAATTTGTGAAATGCATTTATAAAATATTGGAAAAAAAACATATCATCCTATGAATGCAACACTTTTAGAAAAATCGCAATAATTATTTGTAATTGTATTTGTATGTATATCCCTCTTTTGCAAAATGGTACATGATGTTCAGTTTATGTTATGTCTTAGAGAATTAACAACAATACAATCTAAATTTGCTTTTTAAGATTAACTTATACTACAGAAATGACCATGACATTGTATATCTTATGTGTTTCTTATGTGTTTCTTTTGTTTTTTATTTTAGGTCAAACTGAATTGATAAAACGCTGCAAAAGCTGTTTAAAAATCCATTAAAGTTTACTATGTCAACGGAAGATAAAAATTTTCAAAAGATGACAATGATTTAATTGATATCAGGAAAAAGATAAATTTAAGAACAAAACTTGAAAACAAACCGAAAGTTCTAAAACTCATTAAAGGATTAGACGTTCGCATATTTCGATTGAAATCACGAATGAACAAGGGATGCATGAATTATACAATCAACTATTGTATGGATAATATTCGCATGCTCTTTCAGTAGACAAGGATTTCAATGTTACGAATTTTGCAACAAAATAAAACATATGTGATACACCAGGACATTTCCTGAATGTTTATGAAATTTAAACATCGGTCAACTACTGCAGCTATAATTCATCATCAAACGGTTAACAGTTTTACAGGTGGATATTACTTTTTCCCGAAGATTTCCAGCCGGGTAGCTTAACTGCATGCGAAATATCAAAAGATGAATCTATGCGCTGGATGACAAGTCGTCATGGATAAAATGGTGTCAGTGGGGGTGTTGTCAAAAACACAACAACGCCGAAAGAAATAGGTTTACTGTAGGTTCATTTTAAAAGATTTCATGAGGACAATGTCTTTTTCATTCTGTGAATTCCTCATTGTACTGCACACATTTATACTGGTGTATGCATAGTCGGCAATATGATGTGCATCTTACAGATACATAAGATCCAGACAATTTTTAGTCATTAAATCTGTACAATTTTTTTCGTGAATTTAAAATGTGTATTTTGGCGTGTTCTGGGTAAGAAGTCCCCCCTCCCATTTGATGTATATTTTGGTTGAATAAAACTGGCTAGTTTTGGTCAGGGTTTGCATTGAAAATTTAAGCAGAAACTTGGAATAGTTATGTATTGAGACGCAGTTTATTTAGAAAGCGGTTCGCGGGTTAATTTAGTTAAATTATAAGCTGAGTTTTAGAATAGTTCTTTGAACTGAATAAACGTTGTCAGTTTGCGAATATCGAAATTCGATTTACTGTTCAGTTTGTCAGTCGTTTAAGTTAAAGTTATTTATAGATTGCTTGAAAACGATTAAAGTTCGGGGTCATTATTTGCTGACATTTTCGTACGTGTCTCAAATCTATGACTTAAACTTAAAGACAGACATTTAAAGTATTAAAACGTTAAGGGTTTTTTAAATGCAAACCCTAGCCAGAATGACATAGTGATATTTTTTAGAAAAAAATTACAGTTGTAAAAACATTTAACATTTTGGTCTTAGAAATATAGAGACTGTTGAATCAGAGACCATTCAATAACAGAATCATACATGTGCTTGAGACGCAGCTGAATCCTATTGTCTTTTAACAACTGTGTGTTGTTAAATAAAAGTTGTACTTTACTGAATTTTTTTATTGCAGATAAACGCCTTGTCCATGGCCTGAGTTAAGTGTTGTGATTAAAATAATCATTGTTACTCCCCTTTGTATAGACAATAACCTAGACATCAACCCATTCCCCTTGATAATTACCTTTCATGGTTTGATATTTAGTACCAGTCTACTCTGAAATTTTGGTATGTAAGTTTGAGTTGCTGAAAAGTATTTTAGTCTGTCCTGACTACAGACTGTTTGTGTGTAAGCATTTTCAGGACAGAACGTGTCTTATTTTGTTTCAACTTTCCCTCAGTGATTTACACACTGATTCTTATTATTTCAGTATTTGATATTTGATATTCTTGTAAATTTACTGGCCTTAGAATTGAGAACTAGTTTTTGAAAAGTCTTGATTATACCTTTGTTGTGCCGTGCTTGAAACGGCCACTATTATCAAGTCGAGCTAGTTACATTTTGTCTGTTGGTCTGTTCCACCTTTATTCATTGTTTAACCCAAACTTATTTAAATGTAGTAGCTTTACTCTGATACTTGCTATAAAGATAGATTAGGATTGTTCTTCGTATTTGAGTTAAAATTAAATATACTGAGAGATATTCCATTCTAGATGCATCTTGATGCTTGTGGTATGACACCGATGGTACAAATAATATACTGAACATCTCCCAGAACACTTGTGTTTGTGATTTTTCCTGTAAATTCATTGAATCTCCTCGAAAACTTTTTATTGGTACACCGCCAGCTCCTGATCTGTCTTGTGACGAACATGATTGTTTCATCTTTTGGTATAGATAGTCCGACACTATGCAAGTCGGGCTGCGGTCAAGGTCAAAGGTTAGCATCTAAATTGGTCGTAAGAGCAAACTGATCACTCTTTATCAACTGTTCGAGAAAGGTTCTAGAAACTTCTTATGACTGAATATCTGGGTATTATAACCATCATATATACAGTTCTGGAATACACAGGTTTAAACCATTTATAAATTGGTGGTATAGACCGATAAATAATATACCTAATAACACTTTAAAATATTCTACAGACGGGCATAATTATTAATTTAAGTCCTAGAACGATTTAGACTAGATATTGTATAGTGTGTCTTTCTATGTTGTGATGTTACACTATTGTTTCAGAAAAAGGGTGAAAGTTTGGTACCATTAAAACGTTTAAACCCGCTGCATTTGTTTGCACCTGTCCTAAGTCAGGAATCTGATGTTCAGTAGTTGTCGTTTGTTCATGTGGTTCATAAGTGTTTCTCGTTTCTCGTTTTTTATATAGATTAGACCGTTGGTTTTCCCGTTTGAATGGTTTTACACTAGTAGTTTTTGGGGCCCTTTATAGCTTGCTGTTCGGTGTGAACCAAGGCTCCATGTTGAAGACCGTACTTTGACCTATAATGGTTTACTTTTATAAATTTTGACTTGGATGGAGAGTTGTCTCATTGGCACTCATACCACATCTTCTTATATCTATATAAAGGAAAGGTTGTTGGGTTGCTGTCTCATCGATACAAAGTCATGTTAGGTGTCCAAAGACAGTACCCGGTATCGTTTCAGAAGTATCAATAAGGATTTTATGAAAAACTTGGAATTCAAAGGATATTTGTTTTGGATTAGATTTAGACAGGCTACAAAAGTTTGTCTATTCCTTTTTTCTAAATTCGTAAAAGATTTATTCAATATATTACTGTTATTACTGATATTGATATTATAGATCCGAACTTCAAAAGCTGATTTTCAAAAACAAAATAGCTATACAGAGACTTGAAGAAATTGATTTAAGGCGAAGTATACGTAATTGCACGCCTCTAGCGGAATTTGGGATAAACAACGTGCGTCGTTAGTTACGCGAGTTATCTCCCCTACTCAAAGAAAGGGAAAATGGGCACATGAAAGACAAATGACTTCGTGTGGTCTATCGTGAATCAAAACAAGTATTCCTGTGTCATCTCAAAACTTCAAAGAAATTATCAGAATGACTACAACATCTTCAATCAGAAATCTGAGTATCCTCTTGTGAGTTAGTCTGACTCTATTGCCACTGTTTTTTTGTTTTAGACAGGCAGGAACAGGTACACAATACGACTCAGTGTTTATTTAAGTAGAAAGTAAAAACGCCTAAACAACAAAATTATAAACAAATAAACAAATAAACCAGTGACAGTTCTGCTTCTAGTCGTATCAAACTCGTTAAAATCAAACCAAAGTTGACCCCACAATATTTTTTGAAAAGCAATAGTTTTTAATGAAATTCACAGTGTAGCGTAAAATTGTAGGTAACGAATAATTATATTGCATGTGAATTTGTGTGTTGAACTAGAAAGACATTGACATGTCCCGTTTTTTATGCAAATTGAAAATTTTAGGATGATTTCATTTATGTTAAAAGTATGCAAAGGGGTTATCGATTACTACGGCACTATAGTGCAACATTTATAAGTCCTTATAACATTTATAAGTCGAAGAACATAACCAAAAAAGACAATCAGATTCCATCCACAAAACATTACACAAAAACTTAGAATTGAGCACTATCACATTTATCTCGGAATAAGTAAAATCTATGTCATCCAAATCTCAGTTCTCAAATGACAATGTGCAGAAAATAAACAGGTGTCTTCTATTCCGTCCGCAATTTTTGGGGAAAGTAGAATCTAAATTTTGAACCATGGTTGAAACTGAAACTACGCATGTATGATAAAAATAGAACATGTTGTTTTTACTTTATCAAATTCTAATTTGGAAGGGATTGCAAAATTTGTATTCTTTTGTTGTGCTTTAAGGTATCATTCAGAAGAAGTGAATACAATTTTGAAGTACAATTTTTCTTTTCAAGTCTCAATTGAAGATTATGATAGAATAGAGTATAAAAGTATAAGGTAGGGGAAGAAGGGGGAAGGGCGAAGAAAATGATGTTACAATGTCGGGGCCTTTTATAACAGACTATACGGTATGGATTTTTCTTATTGTTGAAGGCTGTATGGTTGCCTATCTAATAATTGCTTACATCCACTTCATTCAGTAAGGTACCTGGGGTGTCTAAATGTTCGACGATAGATTATTCGTAAACTTCTGTAAAAGACTTTTCAGTCAATGTAATTTCAAATTTCAATATAAAAACTTGGGATCACGGACCTTATTTTTCCGTCATAATACATTGAAATTAACGAAGTTTGGGGTATTTCATTTTGTTTATATAGGGGAAACTTTTAAGTAATAGGGGTCACGAGACTTACTTTCTTGAAAAAATTCCCAACAATGTTAAATAAACTTTACGACACTAAATTTGTCGATAGTTCAGTCTTTAAATTTCAAGTTTTAGGTATTTTGTTTTATATTGAATGATATTTGGTAAAATATTTTTAAAACAAAAGAGAATTTGAACCATGACCAGAACGGACTCACAGAAAAATAACCCATTTAATCTACCGATAGTTGTCTCTTTTGCAATCATACCACATCTCTTTATTTTTATATGATATAAAAAAACTTGAATGGCACTATACACAAGTTAAACTCGTATAGCATTACATTATAAACAATCGCCTTGCATTACACTAGGTACAATTTTTAGCATCATACTGATACATTATCATAACATCGCCCTTGTACATGCATTACATCCGTAAATTTATAGCATTACATCAGTACATTTATAGCATATCACTATACACAAAGCTTTAGAATTACACTATACAATGCTATAGCTGCATTACAATATACACAATGCTAAGGCTTAACACTGGGAATTATCTGTGCTACGGGAAGTTATATAAAAAAACTCCGATCTGTTTTATTTGGCTAAAATTCATATGCGGGTTCTTCTTTTGACCTTATTACAGCCATACAAATTCTCAAGATAATATTCAGATGCAGTTTTCTTATTTTTTGGGAGTCGTACATGTTGATATTTAACAAAAAGGGACAAGAAATTATTTCCTTTGTTACTGAAACTCCATCAAACATTACATCATGCTTTGTCGTGTAGTTAAAGAAAAAGGGAAAGCGATTGAGACAGGAACTTTTAAAATGAAATTGCAGAGTTGTGTCACATGCACGTGTGTGAACCTGACAAACATAATGGGTTTTGTACGCAATACCTCAATAGCACCGGAAATGGTGAGGATAAAAGATGCAGAAAATAACATTTACTTCTTTCAAATACGAACATCCAGAAATAAGATTTAAAAAAGACTTCTATACGCGACCTCCATATTATAACCGAATTGTTTAATATATATATTTTTTTTAGGTTTTCTTACATATATTTCGATGTGTCCCGTGCTGTCTATCATTTGTTGTTTAGTTTTATATGTATTGTCTATCATTTGTTGTTTCGAATATATTGGTCTTTTTTTGGGCAATGTGTGACAAAAAGTTGAAAAACCTCGCCCGTAATTATAAATAATTTAATTCATTGACCGCTCCCGACATGTGTAACTTCAAAGCATATTTAACGGCGATCGATGTCTTTCAAAATTACTGCACTTTTCTTGTATCTCTGGTGCTTTCGACTGGAGAACCGTCGTACACAAGCATCGCACAAGTTGGCACTCAGAGGCGGATGGGGAGCAAGAAGGTGAACTGTGGTTTATTTTTATCAATAGTACCGCATAAGTCGACACTAGGGGCCGTCTTGAACTTGTTGTATGGTATGAATGATTCGTTTATTGTTGAAGACCCTACATCAACTGTCAAGATGAAGAACAGGAATAAAAGCCCTGTTCATTGATAATTCTTTTATTTTTTCTATACATTGTGTGCGATTTTGTCCCATGTACATTTACTCCCTATCCTTTTATTTTCTATCTATCGAATCATTCTGTCAACGCTGTGCTAACCGGGACAATTTCAAACTCGATATTTGATTCATAATTATTAGAGCAATACAAACATTGCCAAACAGAAGTGGAACCCTGTCTTATTTAGAAAAGATGGAGTCTATAAAGTAACTTTATTTCACTTGCAGTATATTTATTTGCCAATTTTAATTTTTTTCTGGCAGCA